TGACTTCACGAACAATTTCGAACACGAGCTTATTTCAAACAAACTAAATTTCAAACGAACCAAATACTAACACAAGCTCTGTTCGTTCGTGCTCGGTTCGTTTACACCCCTACCAGCAATTCTTGTGTATTTTTATATTTATACTATCCAAATATTTCATATGGCTTCGAAATTATTAGTATTTTAAGTTTAAGAAAGTGCAATAAGTTTTACCATGCATAAGTAAAGTATGATATATGCAAAAATTAAAGTTTAGACGTTGTATTAGATATGTAAATACAAAAAAAATGAGTGATTTGTATGTAAATCTTCCTGATAATTATGTACCTTCATTTAAGTAACATAAACTCTTATATTAATAGTGTCATGATATGAATAATATGATTTTTTTTCACAATTCATGTGTTTAATATTCAAATTTTAATACTTTTTTATTTAATATTTATTTTTTTATGACATGCTAAATTATCACTAATATTAAATTTTCTAAAATGAAAAAATATTTTAATTTATATAATTTAATGTTATTATAACATTAAAATATTAAATTTTGAATGTTAAAAATATAAATACATTAAAATTACATTTATGTTCATAAATCCTAAAAGTTGAATTAATATTTAATCTTTTATATATTTGCATATCTAATACATAAAATTTAATAATTACATATAAGAAAACTACATACATACCGCAGAATTCTGATATATATATATATATGCCACATACTAATATTAGTGGTTCAGTAACTGTTTGTCAGTTGCAAGTCTCCTATTGTCTAGGGTCGATTTCCCATAAGTGTAGGTGTGATACTTGAATTATAGGAGTATGAGGGATGGTCGAGGCTCGACCATTCCTTTTCATAGTATAGATATATAATTAAATATATATATATATATATTTCATAGTATATATATATAATTATATATATATATATATATATATATATATATAATCAAATGGTATATAGGTAAATCTTACTATTTATTTATTACAATATTATCCTACGTACCAAAGCCACAGCATCTCTTGCCGCAAGAGACAGTATATCCGCGCAGGAGACGACGCCCGGACACGCGCTCTCCACCGCCTCCTTAGCGTGGTCGATCACATAAAATGCGTGCAGGGATATATTTGGCGGCCCATCTTTCTCCGCCTTATTATCCTTCGTCGAATTCAGCAGCACCGATCCATCACACCCCTTGACAATATGCAAAATATAATTTTTATATCATAAAAAGAATCAAAATCCATTTTTTATTTCTGAAGAAGAAAAAAGGAGAGAAATTGATGGAGGGAGAAGAAAATGAAACAAACTCTAATGAAACAGTCATGAAAATGCATGCGGAGTAGAGCTGCTGGAACAGTTTTGTCATTATCCATCCCCTTCTTTACAGCTGCTGTAACCAAATTTTCAGCAGTGGGACAGCTCTTCTCATAGTAGTTGATGCTCAGCGCATTGCTGTGAGGAATGAAGAAGAGAGATAGAGCGAAGAGAAGAAGAATTACAGTCGCCATGCAAAGCTAGCAAGCTTTCTTCAACTGTGAGTGAGTTCTGGGCGCAGGGAGAAAGAAGAGCTTTGTTTGTTTAATTATAAACGAGGAAGAAGAAGGATTTGGTATGAGAAACATTAATGATTTTGGTTAAGTAGTATGATTGAAGAGTTGAAGCTAACACATCCATAAGATATGTTATTATTGTTTAATTATTTTTTTATAGAGGAGTATGTATTAGTAGTTGAAATGTTAAAAGAGAAATGAGATATTGAGAGAATAAAAAATGTTGGAGAAATTAGGGCAAAGCAAACGCAATAATCATGAACCGAACAATCATGGATGAACACAAAGATTTAACAAGATTCAACAATATGCCTACGTCCTCGGAAGCAATGAGCAGCAGTAGCTTTTTGATTTTTCGAAAACAGTGCATCTCCTTAGGGTTACAAATACTATATATATATATATATATATATATATATAATCCTAGTGTATAATATGTAATTACAAAATTATTTTTTATTGTACCTAGGGTCATTGCCCCAGCGTTCTCAGCCCACTTAAGGAAACTCCCCCAATTGATCAGATGCTTCCGCTCAGCTACGTTGACTCGCTTCACTTCACTTCACTCCAACATCTGTCCCTTATCTGATATATAAGAAATACCTAACAAAAAATATTAATTATGCTACAAGGAGATACACACACACACATTTCTCTTTTAACATTTAATAAGACACTATAATATAAATTTAAATATGTTAAACTCATTATTACATAAACATTTCCACAAAACATCTTAAATTCCTTCAAATTTAGGATTCATAACTCACAAAATAATTCAGTACATGTATATATTTATATTGAACTATATTTGGTGACACATTTTATTTGTTGAAATGTCACAGTCCAACAATATTCTAAGCTAGCCAGCAATGCACAGTTGACGTCCTTATATCATGTCATGATGTGACACTTAACCCTAATACGTATCTTATGGAAGTGTAGCTTCATAAATACATATCTAATGGATGTGTTAGCTTCAACTCTTCAATCATAATACTTATCCAAAATTATTAATGTTTCTCATACCAAATCCTTCTTCTTCCTCGTTTATAATTAAACAAACAAAGCTCTTCTTTCTCCCTGCGCCCAGAACTCACTCACAGTTGAAGAAAGCTTGCTAGCTTTGCATGGCGACTGTAATTCTTCTTCTCTTCGCTCTATCTCTCTTCTTCATTCCTCACAGCAATGCGCTGAGAATCAACTACCATGAGAATAGCTGCCCCACTGCTGAAAATTTTGTTACAGTGGCTGTAAAGATGGGGATGGATGATGATAAAACTGTTCCAGCAGCTCTACTTCGCATGCATTTTCGTGACTGTTTCATTAGAGTTTGTTTCATTTTCTTCTCCGTCCATCAATTTCTCTCCTTTTTGCTTTTTCAGAAATAAAAAAATGATTTTGATTTGTTTTATGATATAAAAGTTATATTTTGCATATTGTTAAGGGGTATGATTGGAAGGATAATTTAATGAGAAATAATGCTTACAATCGTCAAACTCTTTCAAAGCCCTTTATATTATATATCATCAGAAAGTATAAATAAATTTACACACACCATACAATTTTTATGTAATAATTTAGTATCTCTGTGTGTGTGTTCATATATATTTATGTGCGTGAATTTGATTCTTTATTATCTTGAGGGTGTGCTTTGGGCAGTTACAGCTGTTTGAAGAATCGGATGTGAAGTTGTTGCTGAAGAAATTGTTTTTTCAAAAAGTTACAACAGCTATTACAATTTTATTTTATTTTCAAAAGTCAAATCGTAATTTTCTGGTAGCCACCATACATTAACGACTCAGATAAAAAAAACAATTTTCTATCTCATAAATATAACAATAAAGTAGTTCCCAAAATAAAATTATTGTGAAGTTTTGAAAAGTAAAGTAGACAAAAAAACTGTTTGAAATAAACCATGAGTTTGTGAGTGTCATTGAAAAAATCAAGTGATGAAGGTTGCAGGTTGGCAAGAATTAAAAAAAAAAGTGTTTTTAAAACTATAAAAATAAAATCAAATTATCTTAAAAATTAAAGAAATATCAAAAATATTTTTAAATATCACTTAAATTTTAACTGTTACTATTAAATTCTGATTTGTCCCTGAATCACATCTCGGGGGTAGAGTGCTAGAAACATATAAGAGGGCACCACAAACAAAATTATATGGGTAATTTGGGTCTTCCCGGGCCTCTTGGATCACTATTTTATTTATAAAACAATCCCCTATTTTTAGGGGAAGGATACAATATGTGAAGTTATTTGTTTGCCCCTATTTTAATAGTGGCGTTAGTGATATTTCCAATATTTGTTTTAGTTTGTCGTACATGTTGTGGCCCTTCCGGATTGCAGATTGTCCAGGGTGATGGTCGATCATTCAAGCTGCAGGTTGTTCAGCCTGTTGGTCATCCAGGCTTCTGATTATTCAAGCTATTGATTGTCTAGAGTTCTAGGTTGTAAATCATCCAAACTGCTGGTTGTTTAGGTTGAGGGCCGTCCCAAGGAGAGATTCACATATTTTTGTTATACATTTATTATTATTATTATTATTATTATTATTATTATTATATAGCTTTTAATAAACTTTAAGTTGAATTGGCTAATACTAAATACATAATTAAGGTAACAGCCAACTAATATGCTCACTTCAATTAGTGTTAGTTTCTAGTACAAAGTTGTTTGACTTCACAGCCATTTTTTAGAAGATAAAAGAGAGGACATACCAAAACATGTTAAAGGCCATTAACTATTATTTATGGTAGTTGGACCTGACCAGTCATCCATATATATCTAATAATTTTAGTCAGAAAGCTTATTATTTTTATTTTTTATTGTAAGAAAATGATTCCGGATGGCTTCGATGCATATTAAATTTATGGAAAATTTACATACATAGCACATGATTCTTATTTAATTAACTATCTCGCACCTAAACTTTAATATTTACATTAGTGCGAGGCTAGGATTAGGGTTGTCAAACAAGTTCTTTGTTCGCGAACAGTTTGTGTTCGACTTGATAAGCAGCTCGTGTTCGCCTTTTTCGTAAGTAATCGAGCCGAACATGAACACTCTTTGTTCGCTCGTGTTCGTTTCATTTTAGCTCGAAATAAAGAAAATCATATAATTATTTACATAATAATATATTATATTTATTTATATCAAATTTTAAATCATAACAGTTTGTGTGTTAATGTTGTTTTGGGTTTTTTTTTTTTTTGCATGAATTTGAGCCAGGTTCAAATCCAGCATTTTATACGTATTTTTTCCAATTAATTTTAAAGAGCCACTTTCAAGCTGTTCATATTTAAATCGAGCCGAACACGAGCTTACCATTTACTAGCCAATTTTGAAAATAAACCGATTTTGAACACGATCAATTTTAAACGAGTCGAACACTAACCAAACCTGAGGTTGGTCAAGCTCAGCTCGTTTAAAGCTCTAGCTATGATGCATGGCGGTTGTTGCTGCATGGATACTTATAACTCAATTTCTATGAATTACATATTTTGCACCTAAATTTCAAATTTTACGCACATATCATTTTAATTTTCCACAAAAAATATTATAAATATAAAAAGAAAAGTGTAGGTGTTAAATATGTAAATACGTGTTGTTTCATAAATATGAATGTTCATGATGCTCTATATGTAATTGAACCTAAATTTTAAACTCAGAAGAGCGGCCGGCACGTAAATTTTGAATCTTTAAGAACTTGGCAAGCGGCCGGCACCCTTATTTCCACCCAAAAAGGAAGCCGCCACGTCAACAGCGAACGTTTACTTTTTGCTACTGGGTGCCACCCGTCTCCTTGGTTGGGCTTATTGAAGCACGCAGGCCTCAAACTCATCAATCACTCAAACTTAATATGTGATATATAATTCGACATGAATCTTGAAGCATAACATAGAACTCGAAGAAGTTGAATTCTCTTCGATCGAAATCAAGTTAGAGTTCGCAAGCCATACTCAATTAATTCAATCGAGATATCTATTGACCAACGCAACATATGTCAAACAAGAGATCTTAGTATCAAACAACACGATAGACATAAAAAAAAACTTATTCTGTCGAACATTGTCTTTCAATAAAATGCGATCCGCACTCTTGTTCGGATATCCAAACGATGACATTGCTGATATATATACCAGCTGTTGTGGTATATATATAGAAATAAAATTGAAAAATAATATTTGATGATGAAACGAAAAATAGAACGAGGAAATTCACATCAGAAAATAGTAACACAGCGTAACACACAAATTTACGTTGTTCGGCAAATTGTCCACGTCCACGGAGTTGCAGAGGATTTTACTACTTGAGGAATTTACACAAGTCAATCATCTCGACTTACAAGGATAATCTCTCACTTCGTTGCTCTCTCTTCTTCTCTCTCTACTCCGAGATACACCAAAGAAGCTCACACCGAGATATACCGAAGAAGATAAACTTAAAACCCCATTTCCCCCCCTGCCACAAGCTACCAAGAAGAAGTCAAGGGAGAACAATCTTCTTTTTTTTTTTCTTCTTTCTTCTGCGGCAAGGAACTACTGTTTACACTTTTCTTCCTTTATCCCTAAGAAGCCCGAAGAAGAACACAAAAAAAAATCGTGACATAGAACTTAAGAAGAGCCACTGCGATGCCTTTTATCGCGAACATGAAGGGAGGTTGGTGACGTTTCGCAAAACAACAGGGAGTCGCGACTATTCACGATCAGACGAAGAAGAAAAACTTGGCAGAGGCGGGATCGACTTCACGACAACAGAAGATCGCGATCGGGGGAGCGGTTAGACCAGGCTCGAATCAAAGGCTAGAGAAAAATCAGATCTCATCACAAACCAAAGCATGGGATCATGGCGCAGGAGCAGCCTGATTGCTAAAATAAATATGGCATTTACATACATACCCTCCAATTCCTATGTATTTACAAAACTAACACCAAAACTTTTCTTTCTTTACA